CCGATAGCCCCGTAAAAAATGTAGTAGACTGCTACCCGTCTTCTATACCTATTTTTAATTTTTAATTTTTTTCTTAGGTTAGTGGGAATAATAAACTGAAGCTTACTATGCTGCAATTGTCATTTGGTCAACAGTTTCAGAGCTGGGGCCGGAGGATTCGGGTCGAAATATTGTGGAGATAATATTCAAGTCAAGCTGGCTGAAGAAGGGCAGCCCCATCTGTAAGATCGAGCGGATACTCAAAGTCCACAACACCCAGCGCACCATCCAACGGTTCGAGGAGTGCCGAGACGCAGTGAAGAGCCGTGCTCAGTACAGCGTCAAGAAGAACCCCAGGTGCGCCGCCGACGGCAACGAGCTACTGCGATTCCACTGCATCAGCCTCTCATGCTCCTTGGGTGCACGTGGCTCCTCCTCCTTGTGCGGCTCGCTCCCCGGCTGCGGTGTGTGCACCATCATCCGCCACGGCTTCCAGGGCAAGTCTGATAGTGCCGGTGCGGCTGAGCAGCCACACTGCAAAGGAGTGCGGACCACGGCCAGCAGCGGTAGGGCCCACGACGCCTTGCAGTGTAACGATACTAGGAGGGCGATGCTGGTGTGCCGTGTCATTGCCGGGAGGGTGAAGCGCGTGGCGGAGGAGACTCCGGCGGAGGAGGAGACCGTATCGGCTGGGTCTTATGACTCGGTAGCCGGGAGCGCCGGGGTCTACTCGAATCTCGAGGAGTTGGTGGTGTTCAATCCGAAAGCTATCCTTCCTTGTTTCGTCGTGATTTACAAAGTGATGCCATGTTGAGGAAGGTCACCGTTATTGAGAATCAGAGATCGGATGTACTTTCTGGTCTGCTACACCCGCCTCCTCTGCTCCCGCATAAAGCCGGGGTGGACAGTGGACCCTACTGTTTGTCTAATGTGTACAGTGCTATCTCTTGCTGTAGGATGTACGCTGTAACAAAATCTCCCCCGTTTTTCTTTTTTAATGAGTTTTGGCCAACTGTTTAACTGCACGCTGGCGCGTGCTTTTCAATATATAGTAGTACGTGCCAGTTTCATGGCTTCACTTAATTTATTTAGGTTGAGTGAAACTGTGAAACTGGATTTTTCTTCCGGGCATTAATTGTGGGCACTGAAAACTTGGATTGTTCACGTGATAGAAACAGCAATCCCATAAATAAGTGGGGCTTGCCACTGCAGACTCACGCAACGCAATTGCGAGGCTTAAATGTTCATTCGGCAACTCGCTCTTCCCTGGAAGCAGTTGGAGCCCTCTCAAGTCTCAACCCTGTTGCTCTGTTAGAAAAGGGCGCGTGTTTGGATTCTTGAAAAATGCCAATCTGAAATAAATTAGTGTTGAATAAAATTACCTAAAATACTCCTATCTGAGGTGTAACATCAACTTATCAAGGCCGATGTGAGAGCTGGTTATTATTATTGTCCAGCTGCTTGTGGGTATGAACGTAAAGAATGTATAGATGGAAACGTAATTATACGGTCAAAGTGGCTGCATAATCTGTAATAATTGAAAGGCAGGAGAGGAGTTGAAGTATTTTGACCGAACGGCGCTTTTCATAACAAGAAGAATATGGCTTTTGCCCCTCTTGTTTTATTTCTTTTTGAGTGGAGTCTTGGAGAACACGAAGATTATGATTGCATACATATGGGCCATCACATGCAGGTTCGCTGTTTTTTTCTTAGCGTCCCTGGCATTTGGACTTTAGGGGACACCGATATACAGCTATACTCATATATAAACAGTTTCAGCGAATCCAATATCCCACCGTATATGTGTTGTTTGGCCAACAACTGATTTTTTGAGAAAATATCCCACTACACTAGGGACACTGGACGTGCAGTGGTTGGTCTCGTTTCAAAATCATAAATTAACAGCAACGTTCAGTTTGAACTCGGGATCACAGAATAATATATTGCAAATAGAACCGTTTTGTGGAGGATGCACGTGTTAGAATAACTTTAATTCGGGGTATCGCGCGACTTTGCTTCACAGTGGAGCTACCGTGAAATCGAGGTATCTACCATCATTGCGGAACGGAAGCCTCCTGGCATACATTTCAAGATTCTTTCTTACCGGCACGTAAAGTAGCTAGGAAGTAATTTTCTGAGCGCGCGAACTTTTAAATGGTTCGAGTTTGCAGGTGTTAAACAAGACGAAGAAACGAAGTCCCTCTAATGGATTTCCTAATCTACAAATAAAAATGAATCGAAGGCTGCAGGAGAATTATTCTTGGCTTCACCTACGGGTTATCTTATTTTTCTTTCAAAGCCCACTCGTCTAGTTCCGGTGTGCGAACCATATTTGTTTTGCACACCCGACCAATTTAAGCCCCCCTTTTTACCACGGTACTTTTTTTTTTTTTGGGTGTAACTGAGCAAGGATTCGTTGAGCGGAATATGGGGAAAATAGAAACAGAAGTTGATTCAAGGACCTATCAGATAGATTAATGATATTTAAAGATCTAAGAAAACAATAATTGAATGAAGAAGTAATATTACGATTGGGAAAAAGTTTCAAAATTATTACTATTATTTCCTTTAAAAACTACTCCTATGACTTAATTAGTCCTTGGATACTGTAAAAGTGTTTAGATATTGTAATAACAAGTCCGAGTGACAACTTTGAAAAAACAGTTAGTAATATAATAAACCCAGAGGCAAGCATGACAAGCAATTTTTTTTGCTAAAACATAGATATCCTCTTATTAGAAGTAATTCTATTCGAAACATTATCGGAAACTAAATGTAGACCCTTTTTTAAACAGAGACTCAAACCTTGGTTTCTTATATTGTGAGGAACTAATCTCTTCTAGACTTCTACTTGACCTATCCCTGTAGGTGCATGAGAAGTAACTTTGTGAACCGTGAAATGTCCTAGGATTGTAATTTCGGCCTAATTAGGTCTCAATACTGGGCTGAGCCCAATATGCATGCTGTGCGTTGGGATAGAATTTGAAGTAGTGGAAGCGTGCGTGCTTCTGATTTTGGAGGAAAAGCCAGGCCTAAGCCCCACGAAATCAAGCCACGTGGCGGCAAGAAATGATGGTTGACAGGTAGGGCCTTCGTGCTCCATCCAACTTAACATGAGGAATTGCAATCTGGTTCAATATATATATATATATATATATATATATAATTATCTTAAAACTGTTAACGGTGAAAGAGCATACCCTGGCGGAAAGCCTAGCCATCCTTGGTCCTACACTGCGGTTTGCGAAAAAGGGAAAAATTTTCTTTTAAAAAAAAAATTTTCTACTAAAAAAAGTTAATCATCAGAAGGAAAAAGGGCGGTCAACTCTAAACATGCCAAACCGAAAAGAGTGATAGTTGAGAAAAAGCGTGACAGGGAGCTGACTCTAGCATTATGCTTTTGGAAAACTGACGTGAAAGCCGAGAGGATTGAATTAGAAACAGCTAAGGAATTAGGTAGGCGTAGCCAAATCATTCGCGATAACGTTGGACATGTCGGATGGGTTCCACTTCCACTCATGTCCCAGAATAAGGATTTTCCGGAGATTCGTCAAGGTTTTATATATCAAACGCCGGGGTCCATCATCATTAACTCCTTTCCACTAATCAATGGGTGGCCTGTCAAAAGCTCCACCCGAACAACTCAAATTAGGAGGACCAAGCCGAGATGTTGTGCTCCTGATTTCCATTTTAATTAGATCGTAATCCAGAAAGCTGCTGTAACCAACCCCGTTTGGGAAAACAGGAGAAGCCCATGCCAATGATGTGGCCACATGGGCGCTGCTTTAACTTTAAGGCCCTCCAGAATGGAATATAATCGCAGGCTCTCTCAAAGGCTGGCCCTTTAAAAGATGAACGGCACTCATCATGGCATTTCACTTCCCAGGGCGAAGCTGGTGACCATGCAGCGCAATCCTCAAACGGAGAGCTTCGTCATACCAGTCATCATAGACGCACAAGAGCCGCTTCACGGCCACACGAGCCCTCACCCTCACTGCAACCTTCCTCCTCTCAGCTTCAACCTCACCTTTTCGACCATGAAGCTCTTCACCCGCTTCCGCAAGATCCTCGCGCGTCTCCTCCTCCTCTCCGGAAAGGCTTCTTCTGCTCATAAGCACGAACACAACGACCGTTTTGACCCTCCAAAGACCTCCTGCAGCTCCTATTACTCCTCTTACTCCCATTACAACGAGGCCATTTCCGACTGCATTGAGTTCTTCAACAAGTCAGCCCAAGACGGCTACCTCCAGCCTCGTCACTCCGATGTCGTCTGACCTTCTCAGATAAGGCTGCCACGTGGTTCGTTCCTTTTGATTTATTCTCATTTATTCATTGTATACGAGTCTCAATATCAATTCGGCTCCCCTATTTCATTGTGCTTCTTTTGATTTTCCTCCCTCCTATCTATAACGCTACCACCGCTAACTTTCCGGTTTCCATTTTTTGTATAAAAAAAATCCCTGATCAATGGTCTGCTTATCTCGTTTTATTTTCATCCAAAAAGCTTGCAGCTTAATTTACGCAAGCAGAAATAGCGAAAAAGAACCTGTGGTTGCCATAAGGTCAATGATCGCTGGTTCGGTAAAACCGTTTATTCACTATTATTCGCGCTTGTTAGATGATGATGAAGGACCAGATCCAACCGAGCAGCCATTTATAATTCCAGGGTCAAATGAGTAAAAGAGAGGAAGAGAAGTAACGAAAGGATTCAGCAACTGAAAAGAGAACGAAATCCTTCAATAAGTTTGAACAACCACTTGGAACTTCGTACCTGGAAATTATGCGCATCTATATCACTTTAATGGGCTCTTGCAAGTGTAAATGTTCTTCTCTAGCTATGTCCATATAATCCGTGAGTTGGTTCACTGTTTGTGATAAAGCATCCTGAATATACGCCTTCAGCCTCATACCATATTGAGCGTGTTTACACTCATTTTGATTTACAGAATAAGGAGGCGTAATTAATTGTCAGTACCTATGTTATGTAAGAATATAACAAAAACAATTGAAAAGGCAACGAAATTTAATTTGCATGTAATAATGGTGCGTTATTAATACAAGACTCTTAATGTGCGTCTCCGCTGACACGGTCCTCTCACTTGGGCGGAATATGTTAAAGGGTAGCGGCTAGTATGATACAAAAAGTAAATGAAGAAAAGAATGTAGAGCACAGGTGAAAACATAGTACGTAAAAAGTATTGAAAGTAAGCTCAGGCAACTTGAGGGTGAGCCTTTTTCCTGGAGAAGATGCTAATGAGGGGAATCAAAGGGTTCTTCTTCTTCCTCCTGAGAGAAGGATGCCTCTCCAGCTTCTCAGGTCCCTGTGGGTGAATGACATGAGCTACAGAGGGAGGATTCGCAAATGTGACGTACCTTTTCTTTTGAAACTCCACCCTCTCCTGCTCCGACTTGCTCATGTTTTCAACAAACTTGACGTCTTCGATCTCGCATTCCACTGCATGCTTCTCCTCGTTCTCCCGTTGCTTCAACTGTCGGAGTTCTTGCTTCGTACGTTCCAGCTCTTCCTGCAGAGACGCCAGGCAATGCGCCATTAACATGCTTTCCTCTCTCGCCCTCTCCAGATTCTGCCTCGTCTCCTCTAGCTCTACTGCCACTCTTCCCAGCCTCGATGACTCTTCCATCCCATTTTCATTCCCTCCCCTCTGGAACTGCATTTATGTGCATCATAATCAGATTCTCATACTGGTTCTATTTTCAATAACCAGCACAGCAACAAACCAGATATTTTGACAGCCTCTCAGGGCTTCCTGCTACGTGATGTCATTGATAGATAAACTGACAATGTAAGACAATGATTATGGGGGTGAAGTGAAGTGTCAGAGTTGTTTCAATTTTTAGTTTAACTAGCACCTACCCCTGCACCGACAATTTTTATGCAGGACTATCTCATTTTTAATGATACGTATAGATCGATTTTGCAATTACATATTCCTAAAGAAGTGATGATAAAGCTACTCCTCATCACTCGCCCCGTCCTTCATTAAAAAACAGAATCAGAATGTTGAATTGATACAGTCACGAAAGCTAGGCAATTGAGATACAGTATGTTATGTCAAAAGAATTAAAAAAGAAAATGGAATTAAGTATTGTATAAAAATTCCTAAGCTGTGATTTATTATTTGTTCAGTGTCCCTGTCTTTATTCTGTCACCCGACATGACAAAAGGAAGCAGGAACATTCTAACACAAGCAAGCGTATCCTTGGACTGTTAACAGCTTTAACCACTTGAAGATTGCACCACCATGAAGCAAGCACAACACTGGAGAATTTTTCCCCCATACGAATTCTGGGGGCAAATAGATGGAAACAACAACAAACATCAACCCTCGGAAAGTCAGACTTGTCTATGAGCACCCAATGTACTTGCTCTGTTTTTTATTCATGACGCTGATTAGCAAAGAATTTGGTGGGCTGCACCAGCATATTAGCACAGGAAGGACTGTCTCGAACTAATATAACTCTCTGTTGATTAGAAGTAATTCATGTGAAATTATATATAGAGAATGAATTAAAATGAGAGCCAAAGGTTACAGGTCACTTGTTGATAAAAAGAACTACTGGGGCAATCCAGCATGCAGGGATACTTGAAGCTACTGGGAGGGCTAATGGGTTGTCGGAAGAAGAGAAAGACGAAAACCGTGCTATAAAAACATTCATAAATTAAAATATGTATGAGTGTGTGTGTGTGTGTGTGTGATGTACCAGGAGATGGATACAAAGAGAGAAAGAGAGAAGTGAGGACCTCTTTGAGCTGGGTGGCATAAAGTTCTTGCGCTAGGACTTTCTCACCGAACAGCGAAACAGCCTCTTTGACGGAACGGAATGGGGCTCTCGTATCAATCTCCGCCTTCTTCATCAACATCACTCCGTCTTCCTTGTTCATTGTCGATGCTACTGCTCGTGTGAATGTCCTTTTCTCGGTGTTGGTGTGAGACAGAGAAAGGTTGGTGACAAGCGTGAGTTCCTGGGATTGAAAAAAGAAATACCGAGGTTTGAGAGATTAATATGAAAGAAGAGCTTCGTTTCTTGGCGTCCACTTCACTAGAATTCTGTTGAATAAAAAGGCGGTGGGTAGATGCTGATGCCTGATGCTGTGGTAGTCATTGTCGGACTTAAATGAAATGGACTTTCAGTTAAACCTAATTGGACCCGGGCATGTAATTCCTCAGCAGGACGCGAGTCCTAAAAATTGCAAAAGTTGCATAGGGATGGAACTTTTTAGTTTCCGTTGCTTCTAAGAGTGAAAATGCCTCTGCTGTCGGGTGCTGCTGATTTACACAGCGGATTAATTCCCAACTTTGACTGGAAAAGTAACAAATAATTAACGAGTTATTGCATGAAATGTAAGGTGGTAGATGGACCGGCTATGTGGGGAACCAATCATGAGAATGTACAATATGATGAAGGGCAGAATGGAGACATTTTAGGATGATGGTAGAGTGGAGGCTAAAATCAGAGATGGTGCAGCATTTGGGACGGGTGGAGTTGGGGTGTAGGATATGACCGGGAGAAAGGAATAAGTGCGGAGTGTGGGTAATTAAACAGAGTGAGAACAAAAAAAAGGATTTGAAGAGGGATACTTTGCGTGGAGGGAGATTGATTACTGACATAAGCTAATAAGATACGGCCATGTCATCGTTCGTCTCTTATTTTATATTCGGGAATGGATTATGGAGTGAGCCGCACTTCTTTAATCTGGGCCTTCGCTTCATTCCGTTCCTGCTCAGTCCTCGCTTGGTCAGCTTTGGAAACTCACATCTGCCTTTCATTTTCACCCCTTGCCATCATCATCAACGTTCCAATACCGCCGTCTCAATCTATATATTCCACCATCCTCTTTACTCCCATAAAATATAAAAGTAGTAACACCAAGCTCTATCCTTTGTGATAACTTTAGCAGTTTATTTTCTTTTCAAGCTCCGCGCAAAGTTCAAAAGACACCTATATTTTCTCTTGAAATGCACCCCAATCATATAGCTCTCCACTAGTCTGATGTAAAGAGCAGCATATACGTATATAAGATTTTTAAAAGCAGACAGAATGTTATTCTTGTAGAATTGAATGAATATGTATTCAATATACATTATAAACATGTTAATCTCATAATCACAACACTTCATCTCATTGAAAAGCATCAATACATCCAAAATAACGATACATGCTCTTTCATTCTAATGACGGATCATCAGTAGTAGTTACCAAACAATGAAAAAAGAAACGTGGGTTGGAGATGTGCTTGATTGGTCATTGGCGTAGAACAAAAGGAATTTCTATTACAGAGCATATTTCAACTTGTTAATATTATTTTATTACTCAGTGACTAGTTAAGAGTCAACGTACGATCTTAAACTACAAAAATTTCCATTTACATTTGTTTTTTCTTTTTTTCCCCCATAAATGGCTCATCATCCCATTTCACCCACGGGTGTCGGTCAGAGCATCTGATCACATCCAGACAAAGCAGAGATGTTGGGGGGACAGTGTTGTCCGCCCCAAACCCCAAACTCCAACTTGACGGGAGCTTCGGCTTCATTACCTGGGCAGTGCTGCGACCAAAAAAAAAAAAAGAAGAAGAAAACTAAAAAAATTGAACGGTCCGCTACCGACCCCTTAAAAGTTCGATAACATTCGCCTTCACTCTCCCTAACCAGTAACTACTACTATGCTCTTCTTCTTCTTCGTTAAACCTTACATTCATCATACAAAGCATCCGCTACAATGTCTGTCGCTGCCATCTCTTCCCCTCCCCTGGCTGTTGGATCCTTTCTTCCACGATCTCCGTGGCGAACTGGGCCTCGATTCTCCATGGCCCTTCGATCTGATGCGGTCTCTGTTGCTCGCCTCCTGACCAAACTCAGACATGATTGTGCCACTCCTTTGCCTGTTCTTCAGCGCGTGGCCGACGCTATGTCACTTGCTATACGGACCGGCCTTGCCGCCGATGGTGCCTCTGGCCTCCCCATGATACCCACCTATGTTCACAATCTTCCCACTGGGTATCTTCCTCTCTAAGCCTCTCCCTATATTTCAGTGCCCCCATAGTCTTTATTTCTTTATCTCTTTATCTCCTTCAATTGTTAATTAAAATGTTGCTTATTCTGAAAGGACTGAGAAAGGATTGTTTTATGCTTTGGATGTCGGTGGATCAAACTTCCGTGTGCTGAGATTGCAATTGGGTGGAAAGGAAGATCGAGTGATTTCCACAGAATTTGATCAAGTATCCATACCTCAGAAGCTCATGTCTTGTACCTCTGAGGTCGGCCTTTGACGCTGTTCCTGCGTAAATGTTTGCTTATTTGTTTTGTGCCTTTCCGTAATGGAAATATCTGAGAGCACCTGCTGCTGCAGGAGCTTTTCGACTTCATTGCTTTAGGGTTGGCAAAATTTGCGCAGAAGCAGGGTGATGAGTTTCACGTCACACCGGGAAGAAAGAGGGAAGTTGGATTCACCTTTTCATTTCCTGTGAAGCAGACATCCATTGATTCTGGCATTTTGATCAAGTGGACCAAGGGTTTCGCAGTCTCTGGAACAGTATGCATTTCTTTTGTAAACCACCAATGTTAATTATTGTCTGTAATTTGGCGGTGCATTGTTTATTAGGTCAGTTCCTGACCTTAATTTGTCAATATGCTTGAGGATTTTTCTTTTGAATGCTCATTAGTACTCAACAATGCTTGAGCATAAGTTTTTTGAGTAAAATTATAATGCCATGGTCTTGAAAACACCAACGGATGTGTGTGAGTACGCTGACTCCATGATGGATTCCAACGTTGCTTGCTGGAGATATAGGGGGAGTAAAGGGATTCCTGGGCGGACAAGATGTGAACTGAAAACTAGTGGTAAAAGTTGAACCTGATTTCAGACTATGAAGAACGTGGCCTAATAGGAGCAATTAATATTGTAATTGGCTTTATGTAATGGTTGCAGAAATATATTTATCCAATACTAGCATGATGGAGAAAAGCTTGAACTCTTTACAGGCAGGAAGAGACGTGGTTGCTTGTCTAAACGAGGCTATGGAAAGGCAAGGACTAGACATGCGAGTTTCTGCTTTGGTACGTTATTCTTGTGCTTATCTTATGTAAACAGTTGCAATGATATGAGATTCTAGTTGATATCAAATAGGTGAATGATGCTGTGGGAACATTAGCTGGAGCAGTGTACTGGGACAATGATGTCACAGCTGCTGTCATTTTGGGTACTGGAACCAATGCTTGCTACATTGAGCGGATCGATGCCATTCCTAAGTTAAAGGGCTATCACTCTCCCTCTGGCCGAATGGTTAGTACCTTAATTACATTACATTCTTTATATGCTTTTCCAATATATTTTAATCTGACAAAAACATACCTTAATCCAGATCATCAGTACTGAATGGGGGGCTTTCTCAAATGGTCTCCCTTTAACTGAATACGATCGAGATATGGATGCAGCTAGCATCAATCCTGGTGAGCAGGTAAATCATACAACGATCTTCCGGTTTAACCTCAGTGTTGGCAGAGCAGCAATGAGAACGTTATCTCTTCATACTTAATGAACAGATTTTCGAGAAGACAATCTCAGGAATGTATCTAGGTGAAATTGCAAGAAGAGTGCTGTTGAAAATGGCTCAAGTGGGCGGTTTGTTTGGAAATTCTGTGCCACAAAAACTATCCAAGCCTTTTATAATTGGGTAACGATTGAATTTGCTGCAGTTAAGATTTAGAGTTAGATCATAGATTGATAAAGTTTTTTTTTTGGTTATTCTGCATTCATAGTTTTTACCTTTTCTTTGCATCTCTGTCTTGTTTGGGTTACACTCTATGTATTTGAATGAATCCAATAGGACCCCAGATCTATGTGCAATGCAGCGGGACCAATCCGATGATCTACAAGCTGTTGGATCGATCCTCTACGACATAGCAGGGGTAACTCGCAGTCTTGCTGACAAGTGACAATAGCAATTGTTATTGGATGTTCTCAATTTCCATAACCTTCTTCCCTTTTTTCAGATTGAGTCCGATTTATATGCAATGAAGACCGTTGTAGAGGTTTGTGACACTATTACAGAGCGTGGTGGGCGCTTAGCTGGTGCTGGAATTGTGGGGATTCTGTCTAAAATGGAACAGGATTCCAAAGGCATCGTCTTTGGGAAGAGAGCAGTTGTGGCTGTGGATGGGGGCTTATACGAAAATTATCCTCAATACAGAGCATACTTAAGAGACTCTGTCATGGAGCTTCTAGGAATTGAGAACTCTAACAATTTGGTAATAGAACATTCCAAAGATGGATCTGGCATAGGGGCTGCTCTTCTGGCTGCTTCAAATTCCATGTACAAGCACGATTCTTAGGAAAATGGATTTCGCTAATCTATCGTCAGCAGGGAACATATAGTACAGAGCAATAAATCAGTGTATTATTTTTGAATTCTAGTCTAATTTAATATTTTAGATAAAACTTTGCATCTTGCTGCTTCTCCCATGCGCCTGAGGTTCTCTACTAGCATGAAAATGAAGCTTCTATACGATCCCACTGACGTGAAGAAGCCTAGGAGGAGTGTGATCTTTCTCGTATCTAGTCATTTAAATGTTACGAAAACGGAAGACATTCAACATTGAAACGTTGAATAAGTAAAATAGTAATCATCCAGGAAAAAAAAAAAAAATCAATGCACCGGCGACAAGATTATCATGTACGCTCTAACATGATAAAATTCTTAATTCTGAATTAAAATTTAATTACTACCTTCGGTTTTAATTATAAAATCTCATTTGTAATTTACAAATGAGATCATATAAATAGGGCCGGAGGTAGTATTAAATTTTTGTTAAAATTAATTAAATTTAGATGTTTTGCTTTTGTATTTTTCCCAAACAATGAAAATATGGCAATATATAAAGTTTTATTTTGATATCTTAATTTTATAAGACATACTTTCAGTACTTTCATATTATCATTAGTTTTAATTACAAAAATTGTAACATTAAAATTTTAAATATTAAAAAAATCTTGCATAGTGACAACAAATTAAGTCTTATTTTTAAAATAATAATAATAGGTGCAGAAAACTACCATTTAAAAAAGCTAACAGTATTGGGGTTAAATGATTGAAAAAACATTTTTAAAAAAATAGAATCTCATATAAAGTTAGATGATCAAATGTGTGTATTTAAAAATGTTGTTTGTTAAAGATTATTAAAAGAAGTTCTTGCCCCCTTGGATTTTCATTGAAGATTTAATATGAAAACTTGAGAAACTATGCACTGATGTTTATACATGGATTTAATATTTTTTTTGTATATTGATTCAAATTGAACGAATCACGCCACATGATAGCATAACTTGATATAACTTTTACATTTTAAATTGATATATTGACATTTATCACTATTGAAACTGAACGCAGCCATGTACATGTGGATGAATGGGCTAAAATTAAGTCTCACCAAATATTTATGTTGTAATCATAATTATTAATAATAATTGCCGCATTATTCAAGATATTCTTGAAGAGTGGGGTCAAGAAAGAACAGCGAAATGATGTTTTTGTCAGCGTAGGTATTGAGGACGGTGATGTTTATAATTTATAATTCAGAGGCAATACTGGTGTCGGGACCCCCTCCGTTTTCTGATGATGATGATGATGGGCAACTTGAAGTTTCAATACACACACAAAATATTAATCCATGTCATTTGTAGCACAACACACGATCAAATACAACAAGAACAACTGAAATTAATTACGAAAACACACACACACACACACTCGCATCGTGCATGGTTATTGATTTTGTAGGGTAGAAGTACTGTGGGAGAACGGAGAAGGACAGGCGCACGGTACACACAGTGGAAAGAGAGCGCTTGAGCTCGAATATTTATTGAAGACAAGAGAGTTCTATTATATATAGAAGCTCGGAGCAGGTAACGATGAAGCTGAGGGAGTCGCGTATATAATAATCAAGGGCACTTGCGCCTGCCGCCGTGGGTGGTCATGTTGTAATAGCAGGGACACACTTCTTGGTTGCCGGCAGTGCCCGGTGGGACGCAGTTGCATCGCCGGCAGCAAGTCCCGCACGCCCTCTTGCACATCCTCTGCCGAGACGCTAAACGACACCTCGCACTGCATGCTCCTTTGCAGTCTGAAATTGATTCCCACACCACAACATATATCATGCCATCATCCTACACTGCTATTATTCTCTTCAACCAAACTCACAGAAGCACTTACCTATCTGCTGAAGCACGGATCCCGGCGTCTGCATAACGCTTTCCTGTACTGCTTGATCGGCGTCGACGAGGTCATGGAGAAGGAGAAGAGAGAGGAGAAGAGATGCCAGTAGAAGCTTTGAGAGAGCCATGGGTGAAATGCTCGTTTATGGTTGAGTGTGCGGAGAATGAGGGAAGCGGGTTGGCTATTTATAGGAGCAGCGGAGGAGGGAGTGCGGGTACATCACTATTCGCTTTGTTACTGTGGGACAAGAACCACTGGGATGGAGTGTAGGCGGAAGAAAAATGAAATTGGAAAGAGGTGGCAGTGACTGGTGAGGGAACATTTGGTAGCCAAAATCGGCTTTGGAAGCATCCAGAGGCAAAGCTGATAATAACTGATATACTTTTCTTTACGTGGTGGATGCCATCAAGTATCTAGAACGTCTTCCCATTTGCTCCTTCTCACAGTATCTCTCAGTTTCTGTTTTGAACAATGCGACACCTTGCATCCGTATCAATCATTAGACTCTACTCTTAAAAACGTTATCATCGATTTTGAACCAACCAACTGCCTACAACTCAAGAAGTTAGGCAGGCACGGTACTGATGATTGCCTTTGGCTGCCTTGGCCCTTTGATCGGGGCAAGCCATGGCATATTATTGTTGTTGATTATTAACAAATTATGTGGCACTTACTAATAACACACGTACGGAGAAGTTAAAGATGACATGGCCGGAGCAGGTGGGGATGAGCATGCCAAATGAGGGCGGTGCTTCGGCTTGAAGCTAATGCTCAAAAGTGTAAATGAATATGATGAGACAGGAAGACAGACATCTTGCGGCGAGATAGGCTTTGCAAGAGCTGCTGAAAGCGAATGGATCAGACGGATGCAATGGAGGAGGACTGTGTTGAGAATAATGCGTTTTTGTGGAGGAGGAAGCCCACCATGGCGCTGCCACAGCTGTCATTTGCTCATACATACCAAATATTCCAGGACAGAGCAGGCCGAGCTGGACTTAGAGGACGACTCATCAGCCAACCACATTAAGAATGCAACCTAGGCTTTCCTAGAGTGTTAGATCCTAATCATATTCATATTACTTGAAAATGAAAGCGTGTCAATCCAGTTCCACGTCATCATGTCCTGCAATTAACATTGGTGCTAAAGGCGCAAATAATTGTGTGTTAGTTTCCGATCCAAAAAAATTAAAAATTGTGTTGGTTTGCCGAGAAGCCATTGGGATTAAGGGGAAAGGTTACTGGCTCCTGGAATCGGGATCAGAGTGGGGGTCCGTGTTTGTCTGTGATTGGCCGTCACGCTCACCTCGAAAACAACCAATAATGGAAAACCAAGTGGGTTCTCGCGGTGTCAGTGAATTCCTTCAATCAATGCTTGGCCGAGGCTGATGTGCCAAAAGCATCCCCCTCCCTGTTATATTGGTGGTACAATGCAAGCTCGGCCCGTCACTAACTCTCTAAAATTTAATTTTACTGTTTAAAAATTAAAACCAATAATTTTAGCCCTTGAAATTTCAAACAAATAATTTCAATTCTTAAAATTTAATCTTATTTTGGGTTTAACCTTGTTTTAAGAATAAAAAATTTTAATCAGATCAGAATAAGATTAAATTTCAAGAAAAAGACTAATAGTTTTCAATCTTAAGAATTAAAATAAAAACAAAGTCAAATTTAAAAAATTATTGGTTTTAAATTTTAAAGAGAAGGACTAAAATGATGTAAAATTTTAAAGACTAAAAATAGTATTAACTTTTATTTTATAAATAATGTTGGAGATCATTATATTCAAAGTTGAGTTCGTGCACTCCTTGATTTTAAGAATCAGGATTAAATCTTCTGTATATTAATAATATACAATAACACATTTAATTAAACTTTGTTTAAAAAAAAAACTATCCACGGCAGTATGATACAAATATATTCGTACAAAATGAGTGGAAAAAAAAAGACTCTCACAAAATTTAAAATTTAAAATAATGCAGATAACGTGAGGTGAAGAAATGATTTTTTTTTTTTCCAGTTCCGAAATCTCCCACATTACTCTGTAATCAACAGTTGGCTCGTCTACAAGAAATAGGAAACTCGTCTAAATGTTTGGGAGTCGAAACCACGTACGAGAATGAGAGAAAAGCTAGCGAGAGTGCAACAATTTGCGTTGCGAGTCAACATATATGAGCTTGCAGAGAATCGTCGTTAAAAACGCTGATTCGCCAGACCGGCGGAATCATTAATCACAATCATAATCATTGCGAACACCAAGCTGATTTTCAATAAAATAACGTTAAGTCTGGTAAGATATTCAGTCTGGAATATGATTTACATGGTAACTTTCAATGTATTTTACATAAATCAACAAAAAAAAATCTTAAATTTTATTAACTCTAATTTAAAATTCAACAATTTTTTAATTTTATTTATATTTAATATATATTATACCTCATATAAATAAAGTTGACATAATAATAAATGAAGGATAAAATTATATATGTATATAAATTTTTTTCCTAAATATCCTATAAATAGGATTAAAAAATGTCTTCTTTTTTTTCCTATCATATAAATAGGACCAGAAGAAAATGTGTATACATGCACATGCTCTTTTTTGAACGCTCAATGGATACCAGGTAACCAAAAAAAGAAAATATATGCTCGGTTTCACATTAAAAACTTTTTACTTCTAATTTTAGCAGTTTTCATTAAGGACAAGCAGACAAGCCAAGCTAGCCATTCCATTTTTTCCAAAAATAGAAAATTAGGCTAAGATAATCCACGATCGCACTTCAGAAAAGCATATTGTCAAAACGTTAACATAAATCACAATTCACTACGGTCATAACTAATAATCAGAATACCATTCCGAATTCTCCTCAGAATTGACAATCACAACTTCATAATTCACATGTTTTTCTAAACGAGGAGGGAGGGAGGGAGAGAGATCAATTATGAAAAAGCGGTCGGTGACGATTTTTTTTTTTTTGGTATAGAATTTTTGGAAAGGGGTTGGGCTCACCCACGATCCAAGGGCAGAGCAAAAATCTCCCTTCCTCCTAGGTCATACTAATGTTGGGCATGGCGAGCCGTCAATTACCCTCAGGTGTTTACCTAGGCACCTAGGAGCTAGGATGCCTCTCCAAGTGCCGCGACTGGAACCACAACAAAGTGGTACTCCCCAGGGATCGAACACATGCCAACTTGGTCATATGTCTCACCCCTTCACCGGTTGAACCCACGGACGATGGGTCGGTCGTGACGAAATTAGGATCACGGAGAAGTGTTTTGCAAAAGCCACCACAAAAAAAAAAAAAAAAAACGGAGAGAAAGGGGTGGGGAGGCGGAGATGTTAAAAAAAAGGGCCCCACGTTTCAGCCCACTGAATATGTGGACCAGTGGGGCTGATTTTTAGCAGCCCAACTCACTTATTCGTTGCTTCAGGCTAGGCGGAGCTAACCGGTATTACTAAATAATTTGGTTGTAGCAAAAAACTTTATAATTTGGTGCTCAATCCCTTTGACAACTGCGAATCAGTAATGTTCTGTGTTCATGGTTGAAAAATTACGTTCCTTTTTCATTTTACGTTCGTTGGCGGGAATTTCTTTGGAAGAGAAAGGCAGATTATTAGTTTATGATCGTCCGGTATACTCAAATTTATACTATTCTTTTATGTTTTATGCTTTCTGCGGCAATATTACCATATTTATGATACTTCTGATATAACAAGTAAACATTTTTCTGAACACTAAGTAATTACTTCTATTAAACGTTAGAGCAGATTAAACTTGTAAATTTTAATAGGACACACATAATATTAAAATAAGTGTTTTTAAAAAGGAAAAAAATTTGGCAAAAAAAAAACGACAAAAATGATTTAATCTCACTCTTGATGCTTGAAAGTGTGTCATCATTTTTCGGTCTCCAGAGAGAGCCGCACATGTTTATACATTTCGCGACAATTTTTGCAACAGACTAAAACCCGACGGCGGTGTACTTGAAGCCTGATAGAGTGATGGTGATAGGACATTGTTTTGGGCTAACTCGTAACGCTGAACTGATTAAAACCCAAGTCTCGCACTACATCGAACCAGCCCAAGCCATTTCAAACTTTAAAAACCTGAGAGTTGAGTGGTGAAATCCCGGGGTTCTGAATTCGGATTTCGGATTCACTTGCAAAACCCTCTGCTTCTCCCTCCTCCCTTTGCGCCTTTTATCCTCGTTTGATTTTCCTGAGAAATGCCTCCAGAAGATTCAACGGCCGTGAAGGTTGAGAATCAAGAAGAGGAAGAGGACAAGAAGAGTTTGGGTTCCAAAAAGGCCATCAAGGCCACGATTGCAAATGCGAAGCCCCACACCAAGACTGCAAAAGTGAAGAAGGAGGAACCTGAAGCAGATGATTCTCCAATACCCGTTAAGGCTGCTAGTTCCGCGTCTCGCTCCAAGCAACCTAAAGTCAAAAAGGAAGAGCCTGAAGACAGCGCCGACGACGATGACATTCCACTTGCCAAACGGAGCTCCACAGTGAGCCTCAAAAAGGTTTGTCGACCTTTCTCTTTTAAAACGCAAAAAAGGGGCCTTAATCATCCTCTTAATTGTTCATCTTCCGTGCCCCCGCTAAGTGTAAAATATTTGCTCTGTATAATGGATGGAGTTCTATGTTCTGGTTCATCAAAGGTTTGTATCACCAAGCCAAATTAAAATTAATGGATGTGACTGTTTGGGGCAAAAGGAACCGAAGAAGAAGAATAAGATAAAAGAGGAAGGGAAGAAGAAAGGTGAGCCTGCTAGCGAGCAGAAGAAACAAAGGAAGGTCTACGATTTACCTGGGCAGAAACGGGATCCGCCGGAAGAGGTGTGCCGTTGCTTTCATGTTTTAGCTCATTCCAACTTTGTCGCGCAGAGGCTTGAGTGATGATTACTTTTTTTTTTTTTTAATTACAAATATTTCAGAAAGACCCCCTGAGGATTTTTTACGAAACTCTGTACAAGCAAGCTCCCGATAGCGAAATGGCACAGCTGTGGTGAGCTTTTCTGCCCATCTCCATTTTTACAGCATGTTGAAAAATAAAAATTTAACTGTTGTGTTGGAGGTTGGAGGAAGCTATTTTGAATGCTTTGTTTCTTCTATTTTCTTCATCAGTTGAAAAGACTAATGATTTGTCTTT